AAATTGTGAAATTGCTAGATTTTTTTTGTTAATGTAAAAAAAAAAAAAAAAAAAGTATGCAAACATGTCAATTGTTTTTAAATGAACTTTTCTATAAAATTTTCTATTTGTTGCTGAAATATATTTACAGTCATAATTTGTTTCATAAAATATTTATTTAAACATATAGCCTACATTAAATTAAGACATTAACATGTAAAGTATATAATGAAGTATATAGTCTAATATTTCTCAAAATGCTCTTCTCTAGACTTCATTTCTCTAGCAAATTATGAGCTGTAGACACTGATGACTTGCCTGAGGTAAATTTTGTTTTTTTTTACATTTTGTTTACAAGCTGTTTTAATGACGTCTTTCCGCGGTTGAAACACTAATTGAACGATTACATGAGGGGTGAGATGTTCATTCATGTATATTTTGCGTTAAAACTAGTAATAAAGAGGAACATATATATATATACGTTCAATCTGCCCCATATTAAACTTTTTTTTCTATTTAAAAAATTAATGACAGCATCTATCAGGATCTATCAATTTGCCACTTCTATCATTCAAAGTGACATCAAAAACCACAAATCCCTTTACATAGATTCACAAATGTTGTTCAGACAACATAATATTTTGTGTTTCTGTTAAGTTATCTAATCTCTTCCTTTGTATCTGCTCAATTTTTTTAGTTTAAACCAACTTATATAAACGGGTCTAAGCAGAAACCAAACGATAAACTTTATTTGCTGCACTTTATTTTTAATGCAGTTCCAGACTGCGTCAGTAAGAACTTGGTCCTTTGTTCACTTAATTTTACCATGGATTTGTTTACAAACAGGCCACAATTCGACGCAGGATTTTCAGAAACATTGAAACTAAAAGACAATGCTGTGCCGACTATATTGGATCCGACAGTAATGTTGCACCACATAAGTGTGAGTAGCTGTTTTCATTATGTGGTCACTATTTCTTTGCCTCTTCTTACAGATTGTTCCCTTTACATAGATTCACAAATGTTGTTAAGACAACGTAATATTTTGTGTTTCTCTTAAGTTATCTAATCTCTTCCTTTGTATCTGCTCAATTTTTTTAGTTTAAACCAACTTATATAAACAGGTCTAAGCAGAAACCAAACGATAAACTTTATTTGCTGCACTTTATTTTTAATGCAGTTCCAGACTGCGTCAGTAAGAACTTGGTCCTTTGTTCACTTAATTTTACCATGGATTTGTTTACAAACAGGCCACAATTCGACGCAGGATTTTCAGAAACATTGAAACTAAAAGACAATGCTGTGCCGACTATATTGGATCCGACAGTAATGTTGCACCACATAAGTGTGAGTAGCTGTTTTCATTATGTGGTCACTATTTCTTTGCCTCTTCTTACAGATTGTTTGATATGTGCCGAGTATTTATGCGTTTTTAACCTAAATCATGGCAGTGTCCATCCATGAGGCACATATGCTGTCAAACCTACACAACTATTAGCCAGTCATAGCAGTGGGCATTTACGTCCGAGTCTACAGTCCTCCACGCCTATTCAGAGTGTTGTTTACTTCTAAATGATGTTTTTTGATGTAAAAATCTTTTACAAAGTAATGTAAAAAAGGCAGTTCATGACCCCTTTACATGTGCACACCTTGTCCTCAGCTTCTGATGCTGGTGCTGTGCCGCTGCGGACTGAAGAACTCATCCCCATTTTCATGTGAGATTCATAGGAGACCGAGGCGATCACGAATTCGTGCACAGATTACAGAGCTTATCACAACATTTTAAGGGGGCTGAGTAGAAATTTAGCTGGGCTGAAGCAGGCCCTGTTAGACATTCTTTTCAAGCGGCACTGTTGTCACAGGTGCTGCACCCTTCTCCTTCTCTTTTGCTCCTCCTCGCTCCTTGGCTCGCACTCTGTTCCAATTAAGTCACATGCCCAGTTTCTGACATACATCCACTAATATGCAGTGACAATTCGGCTTGGTTTATTAAAAGTTTTCAACCCAGAACTGTCAAAAGCACAAATTACACCACTTGACCAACACATACAGTACATAACTGTTTAAAACTGTTTTAAAACTATTTTTGATCTCTATTTCTTGATCTTGATCTCTAAATTAATAAAAAAAAGTAGTTTTATAATTGTCTATTTTTATCTATTAATTAAATCCATTTTAATTAAGTTAATAACAACTAAAAGTTTTCATTCATTCATTCATTTATGCATGTATGTATTGATTGGAGAGGGTAATGTCATACAAGTACCAAACTTTGTGGTTCTTTCACAAAATAAAAATTTTAATCACTGGATAATATAATGCCAAAGGTGAGATACCATATAGTACAACCCTATTAGCTATATCATGTCAGTCTATAGCAGAACTTTAGTGGATGTTATGCACCCATGGCTTTGGAGTATATAGTGATTATTTAGAAATAACTTTTTCTAAAAAAAAAAAATAATTCAATTGATTTTCTCTTTGCAGCTTGGCTTTCTCCAATTTCTGGAGCTTGCTTGTAACC